CGGTCTTTCTGCACATGTCGTACAACTGTCCCCTCCGTTGCAGTAAAGCGAAGGGTTCGTCAAACTCGACGATCTCTCCCGCGTCTAACACCTGATGGTAAGGGGAAAGGGAGGCACGGGATGGATGTATGAGATAATGACTACCATATACTATACAGTAATATGAAGTCTAGTCTAATGTGTAATAAAATATATACCAAAACGCGATCGCAGTCTATAATAGTGTTGAGTCTGTGAGCGATCGTAAGGACCGTACGGTCACTGAATTTGTGGCGAATTGTGGTCTGAATTAAGGCATCCGTCCGGTGGTCCACATTAGCGGTCGCCTCGTCGAGCACTAGTAGGCGGTTGTGGCGGAGTATAGCTCGAGCCAAACACACCAATTGGCGCTGACCTACACTCAGATTACCGCCCCCTTCGCTCAGTAGGCCGTCCAGCTGTCCGGGCAGGTCCTGAACGGCGTGTCGGAGCTGCACCTCCTCTAAGGCACTCCATATGAGGTCATCCGTGTATTCACCAAAAGGGTCCAAATTTCTGCGCACCGGACCCGTGAAGACCACCGGATCCTGAGGTATGATTGAGATGTTGCGCCTCAAGTCATGCAAACCTATCGATTTGGTGTCCACGCCGTCCACCACTACCTCACCCCTGGGCTCCACCATCCGGAACAGGGCTGATATGATGGACGACTTGCCGGCACCGGTACGTCCGACTATACCTATCTTCTCGCCACTCTTCACACTACAGCACAGGTTCTTCAGCACCGGTTTGGTTGAGCCCTCGTATACGAGAGACATATTCCTCAGCTCTATCTGACCCTTGGATGGCCAGTCAGGTGGCGGTCGGTGTCTGTCATCCGAGTCTAACGGCGCCTCTTGTGGTAGTTTCGAGTACTCTATGATTCTCTCGACTGAAGTCATCTGACTCTCCAACTCAGCCGACTGTCTGACCCCCCACTGAGTCATACCCGTCAGCATCAGGGCTAACAATATATACACAAAAACTTATTATAAAATTTATTTATCATAACCTTATGGTCTAACCCGATGAAAACGCCAGTCCCGCCTCCCCTCCCTTTAAACCGTCCGAATATATCATAAGTACAGCAAATATAACCACAATATATCCCACACACAGCCAGTCCATTATCAATCCAAATGAACGGTTAGCAGTAATGGATAGTATCCAGGTGGCTGAGTGGTCATCCTGGTACACGTAGTATTGCTGCTCAAACATTTCCTGTGCCCCATAGGCCCGCACACTGGCCAACCCACTCAGGGTGGTGCTCACGTGTGAATAGACTGGGCTCCGGGCTATTTGATTCAAAAGTGATTAATTATTTTAAAACTTAGATAAAGGGAGATTTAATCAGTAAATTTAATTTAGTTATTTTAAAGTGTATAAATTTATTAAGGTTGTACATTTTTGGAAACATACTTAATCCTTCAAATCTTTTAATGTCCCTGGCAGATTTAATGTATATAACACGGACTAATAGTATTAATCCAATGAGCGCAATAGCGGGTAGTATAAGGTAAGGGTTGACCAGGGCTACCATGGTTATACTGCCGATACCTTGTGTCAAACTCTATAAACAAACTTATTCATTATAAATTGAAATTTAATAATGAATTTTATTACTAGATTTAAATCATATGCAGTCGATGGGAGCATCTCATCGATAATACCCAGGTCTTTGGTAAACCGATTTAGTATACGCCCTGGAAATTAGATAGGTTAAATTTATACATAAAAGTTGAAAAAATTCATATATTTTAAATATCGTTATACACACCGACGGGGTTGTTGTCAAACACGGCTATCGGCGCCCGTAATAGTCGATAGAATATACTGTTGTGTAGATTAACGGAGGCTCTCATAAACATCACGAACCACGTGATGGCCCTCAATAGGGATGTCATAAACAGTGCGCCCATTAGTGATGAATAGATAATTACACCGTTATTCTGGGCACTGGTATCCGAGTTTGTATTTTCCTGATTACTGTCAGTCCTGTTAACATGATATTCACAAAACAAAATAACTTTATAATAAGTAATATTCTGGGAAATAATATACAAAATATTCTGTATAAAAGAATCTTAATAAATAAATTAGCTAGTTAATAATAATAATAATGTCAAATTATAATATACCATTCGGTTAAATAATAGTCTGAACCGTGAAATATAGCTTGAGATACCAGGGTGAAAAATAGGGTTACGCTAAACAGTAGGGGTCCGGCACCGGCCCTAATGTACTTCCAATATACCCGACCGGAAATGGAGCCCAACTCCCGGTTTTCGTCTTGTATTTTAGGGTCACCCGAATACTGCCCGTCCATCACATCATCCTATAAATCATTTAAACAAATGGTTAATAAAAATAAATATATAGAAATTAAAAGTTTTATACGTTTAGCATAACAGGGTTTTCCACTACCGATGCGGTTCGGGATGTGATTTTGGTGTCATAACTATTTTGTGACAGAGTTCTCATGAGATCCCGTTCCTGTTGTTTTGTTGCATCCATGTCCTGATCGCTTAGTAGTTTCATGAAGTCCAGGCCCTGAGACTGGAGCTCGTCGTATGAGCCCAACCCCAGGCACCGGCCCTCTGGGCTTAAGACCAGTATTTGTGTGGCTTTTCGTATGAATTGGATTTGATGTGTGACTAGAATTCGGATTTTGTCCGACAAGTACTCCACTATACATCTGATGGAAAGGTAGGTTAGAGGACTGGTAGGTGTGTCTCATATGACTAATAATGGCATTACTTATCAAATATATGTTCGGCAACAGAGGTGTCGACAGCACTCAACGGGTCGTCCATTAGTACGATATCTGAGTTGCGATACAAAGCTCTGCAAAGAATGCATTGTTTTAGTCAATAGGACTGTCGTATAGACTACCGGTGCCGTGAATGCCATACCGGGCCAAAGTGATCCTAGCCTTCTGTCCACCCGATAGTGAGACCCCTTTCTCTCCGACTAATGTCTTGTCTCCGAAGGGGAATATCTGGAGATCCCTTTCCAGAGCACAGACATGAACTACCTGTCTATACCGGTGCTCATCGTATTCACTGCCAAACAATATGTTATTTCTGACACTATTATTGAAACTCCAAGGCTCTTGTGAAGCATAGCTAATGGTGCCCACAGTTTGTATGCTTCCTTCGAGCACCGGTAACTCATTCAACAAAGTCATCAAAAATGAAGTCTAAATAATAAAGTTTGTTATGGCATACAATTATTATATGATATTTAAGCTCTGCAAAGAATGCATTGTTTTAGTCAATAGGACTGTCGTATGGACTACCGGTGCCGTGAATGCCATACCGGGCCAAAGTGATCCTAGCCTTCTGTCCACCCGATAGTGAGACCCCTTTCTCTCCAACTAATGTCTTGTCTCCGAAGGGGAATATCTGGAGATCCCTTTCCAGGGCACAGACATGGACTACCTGTTTATACCGGTGCTCATCGTATTCACTACCAAACAGTATGTTATTTCTGACGCTATTATTGAAACTCCAGGGCTCTTGAGAGGCATAGCTAATGGTGCCCACAGTTTGTATGCTTCCTTCGAGCACCGGTAACTCATTCAACAAAGTCATCAAAAATGAAGTCTAAATAATAAAGTTTGTTATGGCATACAATTATTATATGATATTTATTTATTTAAACTATACCTTTCCAGCGCCTACCGGTCCAATAACAGCCAATAGATCTCCAGGTTTCAAATGAGCTGATATGTTATGAAGTGTTGGATACGGACTGTCCTGTCATATGGTATGAAAAGTATTTAAATATTTATTTTAAAAACTATTCATTCATTTCATACTTCACTCCATTTGGCGCTAATATTATTGACCGACAGTTCAGGCGTTTGTTTGCCTGAAGTATTCAATTCAACACTATTTGAGATTTTCGTTGAATTCAATTGAATTTCTTCTAACTCTAGAAAAGTCTGCAAAAAATATATTCAATAAACCATTTAATAAAACTTTCAAAATAATTAACAATTAATTTCAACTAAATGTCAATTTACTTGTATACGACGGCACGACACCAACATCTCGGCGCCCATAGCTATAGCTTGTGGGAAGTACCAGGTCATATTCACGCGCAGGGTATTAAACAGCATCATAGATACAAACACGGCTTTGGCAGTCAGTACGTGTCCGGTCAGTACGTACGTGATAAACGCGGCGAATAGTATGAGCTTGGTGGCTGTATTAAACAGGGACATATTGATTGCCTTTAGAAAACACGATCGCTTAATGTATCCCACTTCTTGCCTGATGAAAATAAATATATATATAAAAATATAGTTCAATTGTGAATTATGTATATTTAATTGTTAATGGGTTTAATAAATTATGTTGATCATTTTCATTCTGGTGGTTTGGAGTAGAGTAGAAAGTGGAATCCCATTCCTGCCGGAATTCCCATTCCCAAAAATTCCCACTGGGATTGGGAAAAATGTTTTGGGAGTAAAATGTAATGGGAATAAGATTTAGGAAAAGTTGTCCAATTGATTCATGGTTTCCAATTAAAAACTTACATAAACATTATTTTATGTTTAAAATTTCATATATTTTTTGTTACTGTTTTTTGAGATTATAATTAAATAAACATTTTATTACGATAATTAAACATGCTAAAATCATACTTTCTGGCATTAGCCACCAGGTCGTCGAATGGCTGCTCCCAGGCATACATTTTGATGACTCGCATACCCGATATAATCTCCACCATATACCGGAGCCGGTTATCAGTCAATTGAGCTGTCATTAACCTTGGTGAACAATTAATTGTATTATTTTTTGCACTAAAATTTGTAAATTTTGAAAGTACCTGACTTTTGAAAATAATTTACCCATAAATAACTGGAATAGTATTAAAACCAATATCAGGCCCATGGATACAAAACATGACCAGCCCATATGTGTGTACATTATATACAGGGTAATTGCTGTTTGTATAGGCGATATGATCAGGTAGCTCGCAAATAATGAAAACTGTTTAAATTGAATATTTAATGATTATTTATATACATTTATATATAAAGTAGATACTGGTGCCAAAAGGGTATACCTCATCAAACCGGTTGACATCATTTGACATGAGGTTTACGATCTGACCCACAGTTGTCTTTCCCATTGCCGTCCGGTTTAGTTTCAATGACTTTGAAACATATAATTATATTTATATTAAAAATGATCTTGCTAATGCGAAAATTACTTACCTTTTTGTACATCAGTGTACAGCAAGCGCTACGCATTCGCATTCCCAATTGCATGATATGTACCAGGGTGGTGTGATAAAATGTTATAAATAAGATGGAGCATATGCACACACCACCCGCACAAAAGCATGCTTGCTCATATGAAATTTGAGAGTGGTCACTGAAATAGTCAATTACATATCCAAGTAGTATAGGTTGTAGCATACGTACGGCACATTCCTGTTGAAAGTAATTTTATCTCGGTTAAATAAAAACTCGTAAAATAACTCGATGAGTAATTAATGGTATATTAATTAAATAGAATATTCTACTTACAATAATTAATGATATTAGATAGGGCATTATATGGTTTTTGGCAAATGTCTGCACTAATGCTTTGAATAAACTTGGTGATTTATTATTTAATTGTATTTTCCAATTTCTATAAAAATAATTTGACTTTATAAAATGTAATTTTCATTAATTTAAACATTTATTTCTATTGTGTTTACTTTTCCAGGTGGTTTCCTAGTAAATTAGATTCATCATATTTAGAGCACCGGGACATATCATCCAGGTCCAATTTATTTTTGCGAAGTCCTTTCAAAAATATCGGAAATGTCCAGCTAGGTAATTAAATAAGTATTTTAAAATTACAAATTTATATGCTTGATCGGATAATTATAAAATAAACAATTGTGCTAAAAATATTATATTATTAATGTTTTACTTACGTGAAAAATAATTTCTGGATTATATTCGTATTGTCCCATGGTGATTTATTTTTAATTTTTGCTTCACCGTCCATTATTATAGCAAACAATTATATGTTTTTAATCAAAAAAATATACACAACTATTTAAATGATTTTTTAATGGAAAATGTGGCGATTTTTATACATAAGTAAAATATAATTTATAATTTTATTATACATTTTATGACACAAATTCGTATGGTTTGTGACCAAATTGATAGCAACATGGTCCAATCAAAATCAACTAACCATTGAATTTATTGTTATTTTCAAAAATACACTCAATAGTTTTATTGTTATCAAGGCCTTAATAATAAAATTTTATTTTTATTATACATCATGTCCTATTAAATTTCAAAAAGATTTATTTAATTAAGATTTTTATCAAAATTTTTATGTAATAAAATAATTTTATGTGTTTTTTGTGTCGACTTTATTACAGTACATAAAAGCTTACAATAAAACAGTTATCAAATAAATTAATAAAAATTATTATTTTATTTAAACATTTGACGTTTAAAGTATGGCTAACGGTGTGGACTATTTAATACCGGTTTGTGGTCTATACGAGGAATGAGGTGTGGGGTGACCAGGGTTATTTCAAAATTAAGCAACGTCATAATAAGTGCGGTATTACAAGGAATATCACTGTTGGTTTACAAAGACTGTAAAATTAAAATTTTCATTTTAAGAAATTAAATAAATATAATTTTGTTGTAAATAATTGGAATTTGTTTGTTAAACATAATTATTGTATCCAGTAATTTAAAAATATTTTTGTTATTAGCTATTAATTTACAAATGAATTGAATAAATATTTGTATATGGCTAAATGGATGTGTATTTTTAGGTTATGTAATATATTTTGTATTGATAATTTATATTTACCAATTTTGATATTTTTAAAGAAAGTAACTTAGAGATAATAAATAGCAACACCTGTACTCATAATCGCTACCACCTACCAAGCACAAACCCGGATAATTTTGTTAACTTATTATCAATGTAAATACAATTTGATAAGTAGATAACAATTTTCAATGTTAAGTTTTAAAGGGCATATAAATGAGTATAAAAAATAATTTATTTCATAATATTTAATTTATAATTACCAATAGCAAATAATCATGAGTAAATATAATTTAATTCTGGTGCTTTTGCTAACATCATACATAGCCGGGTCACTGCAATCACCAAATAGTTTCAAAAATGTAGACCAAATGATTGACTATATTAACAGCGCCGACACCACATGGAAGGTATGGTATTTGGAGACTGGTATTACAAATCTTATTAAAAATAAATATTTTAATTGTTTTCTAAAGGCTGGCAAAAACTTTGACGACAAGTATACACTTGAATATCTGAAAGGACTACTGGGTGTCCGACACTCAGGACAGGTATCATACGATGACAGCGAACCTGTAGTCTACGAGGACCTGGACATCCCCGAGTCGTTTGACTCACGCCAACAATGGCCAGAGTGTCGCTCCCTTAAAGTGATCAGAGATCAGGGGGCGTGCGGTAAGTGGGGACACATCAGCTATTTAAATAAATTGAGACAAACCCCTTGTAACCTCCCGTTCCCCTGCCATATATTAGGCTCGTGTTGGGCGGTGTCGACCGTTTCCGTGATCTCTGACCGCATATGTATCGCATCGAAGGGTAGACAACAGGTGGAGATATCTGTTGAGGATCTGTTAAGCTGTACCCACATAGGCAGCTGCGCCCATGGAGGTGAGCCCTGGTATGCCCACCAGGAGTATATTGGCAGAGGTTTGGTGTCGGGAGGTGACTATAATAGTCATGAGGGCTGTATGCCGTATACAATAGCCCCGTGCGAACACGTGGGTACTGGACACTACCCGCCCTGTCCGACCACTTTAGTCCCCACCCCTCAGTGTGAGAATAAGTGTGAGGCGGGTTATAACGGGACTTACGCTCAGGACAAACATTTTGGTAGCAAAAGGACCCTGTTCGCTAATAAGACTAAGGATGTACAGCTAGAAATTATGACAAATGGACCTGTAGTTGCTGATTTTGGTGTAAGTATAGATAATAAAATAAATTATGCTAACGTTAGAAATATTTGTCTTAAACATTTTTTATCGTGATTTTACAACATTAGTAAATAACTAATAATTAATGTGATTATAGGTTTACGAAGACTTTTTTCAATACAAATCTGGTGTATATCAACACGTGACAGGTCAGTTTGCTGGTAACCATGCTGTTAGGATACTGGGCTGGGGTGTGGAAAATGGTGTGGACTACTGGTTGGTGGCTAACTCGTGGAATGAGGATTGGGGTGACAAAGGTTACTTTAAAATTAAGCGTGGTAATGATGAGTGTGCATTTGAGAGTCTGATTACCTCAAGTTTGCCAAAGTTATAAAATATTGTAAATAAAAGTGCTTATATTTATACCGGGCTAAAACTGAATTACAAAATTATAATAATTATTATTAAATATACTAATAATAAAATTTCAATAAGTTATCATAATAAAATAAATCTATAAATATAAAATTTGTTTTAAATAATTGATATAAATACAGATATTAGAATTGTTAATTTTTGAAAATAAATGAATAAATTTTGGGAATAACTTGAGTTTATGTGAGTGATTAATTAAAAGATGGTTAGGATATCGATTATTATTGAAAGTAATACAATATCTCGTGTTTTAAATTAATTAATTTAATTAAGAAATTGACAGGTTAATAAACTTATTTATAATAATAATTTCGTATTAATTTATTCGTTGTTTTTAGGTGGAACTGTAATGAAGCATAAATATTAATTTATAACCAAAATTCAATTATACTGTAACTACCGTTACTCAAAAAAGAGTGATCTCTAGGTGATCTAATCTGTTTTGTGCAACTTTTCCGAAATTCTGTATGCAAACAGGATATGTTTTTATGTTGTTACAATTAATATTATTCTCATAATTAAAAAGTATTCGGTATCAAGTTAAATCTATGTATTACCGGTATTCAGCAACTATCATATAATTCAACAATTTCTAGTGCGTTATATAAACTATAACCGATATCCTAAACCATATATTCATTAATCACTTTCATAAACTAAAGTTAATCCCAAAATTTATTAATTGATTTTCAAATATATTGTTACATCTAGACGCTAAAATAATGACCCTAATGACACTGATTGTTACACTCATTATAAGCAATCAGCAACTTTTGTTAATTTATCAAGTTAATTACTTGTAATATAATAACTTAGATTACAGCACACAAATACAAGAACCAAATTATGGTATACTTTATTTTAATTTAATGTATTTTATTTAATTATACATTTAATTATGATAATTACAATTATGATGGTTTTACAGTTTTGGTAAACCGGCCGATATTCTACTTTCAAAGGAACACTCGTTGTTACCCCTCTTAATCTTGAACAACCCTTTGTCACCCCAGTCCTCATTCCACGAGTTAGCCACCAGCCAGTAGTCCACACCGTTCTCCACACCCCATCCGATGATTTTGACGGCGTGTCCGCCCTCGACCTTACCGGTCACGTGATGGTAGACACCGGACTTGTAGGTCAGGAAATCGGTGTAAACCTTGATTAGGGATTAAAAATATTTCATTAAAAAATATAATCGTAATGATCTACTAGGCCAATTAGTTAAATATTGTGTGTTTGTATAATATTTATGAAACATTAGGTTTTAAATTACAGTTTAAATAATATTCAACATGTATTCACCGCTAATTAATGTGTGTAAACCTATTTATTATAAACATGCTATAGCACTGTACAAATTTAAGTAAACTAGGTGGGTATATAAAAAAA